GAACATCCTCCACTAGATATGTCACTCAAAATAACATCCTCCACTAGATATAACACTGAAAAGAACACCCTCCACCAGATATAACACTCAAAAGAACACCCTCCACTAGATATAAGACTGAAAAGAACACCCTCCACTAGATATAAGACTCAAAAGAACACCCTCCACTAGATATAAGACTCAAAAGAACACCCTCCACTAGATATAACACTCAAAAGAACACCCTCCACTAGATATAAGACTCAAAACATATGTTCTCAATCAGTGGCAGTACTCAAAAGAACGTCCTCTATCAACTGCAGCTCAGAAAAATAAAATCATATTCCATCTGCCTCACAACACAGCCCAGCCAATTAAATATAGTATTCGTCACCGGAGTATTGCCTCGAAACTGCATATTTTAATATGTTTCAATTTTTAACGATGCAAGTAATGCAATTTGAGTGAATTTAATGTTTACATATTTCAAATTTTTTTAGATACAAAAAGAGAAATTCTACATAATTATATAAATATTGCTACGAAATATTATTATATGTGTACATGCAAATAGTGAAGGTTTTAAGTTAAATATATTACTCAATACTGACCAGTTATGAGATACAAATATATGTATATATACGTTTATATATATTATCATAAACATGGATAGTTTTGCCATTTATTATGCACCCGATACCCATCTCGTGGAAGCTGGTCACAAGAATCACAAAGAACCATATACACACATACAAACCAAGGCTCCAGTAAATATAGAAAACACAGAGAGATTCCAAACTTTCAAGATGTATAAACACATAGTGTTTTCAAAACAAGATATTTTCAGACGTGAATATAGCACGCAAACACGCCTAGGATTTATGGAGCCACCAACACGGCAAGATGCGGTGTAGCTCACTGCCAGGAGAGTCATTTTCCTCACACTTGCAGTTGGTGAAGGGACACAATCAGTGAGGGGACGTGACTTGGCAAGAAATTTTCCTTTGCCATCCACAACAGTACCTGTCTCTCTCTCTTCCCGTCTCTCTCTCCTCCCGTCTCTCTCTCCTCCCGTCTCTCTTTCCTCCCGTCTCTCTCTCCTCCCGTCTCTCTCTCCTCCCGTCTCTCTCTCCTCCCGTCTCTCTCTCCTCCCGTCTCTCTCTCCTCCCGTCTCTCTCCTCCTATCTCTTTCCTACTTGTGCAAAGTTGAAGCCCAAATGCTGTCTCTCTCCCTCTCTCTTTCTCTTTTTGTTTAAATGAGACTATTGAGTCCGATAGAGCTGTCAACTGAGGGACCTAGTGAGACGGCAAGCAAGAGCTTTTATCCTACCTCTCCTCCTTGGGTGTCTGCCTCTTGAGACTCATTTATTTCACGAGAATATTTTTTAAATCCAAGTAACTATCATATATGGAACAGGTACCTGGTAAAATTGCAAGCGAGAGAGAGAGAGAGAGAGAGAGAGAGAGAGAGAGAGAGAGAGAAAGAGAGAAAGAGGGAGAGAGAAAGAGAGAGAAAGAGAGAGAGAGAGAGAGAGAGAGAGAGAGGGAGAGAGAAAGAGGGAGAGAGAGAGAGAAAGAGAGAGAGAGAGAAAGAGGGAGAGAGAGAGAGAGAGAGAGAGAGAGAGAGAGAGAGAGAGAGAGAGAGAGAGAGAGAGAGAGAGAGAGAGAGAGAGAGAGAGAGAGAGAGTTGTTTGGGTAGAGACAAACTCTACTGTATCCCAAGGGTCAGGTTTCCACACAAGTCCAGAACAATAAATGAAAACTTACTACCTGTCGTAACCTGATCACAGTAGACAATATTTCGGGGGCTTAGATTTGCCACTGAGAATATGAATAGTCGGCATGTGTGAAACTTGTATTCGAATATTTATTCCATGGACAGTGTTAAAAATAATTTTGGTTGAATCGAAGATTTATTGACGTTTCTATATTGTATACGTATATTACTCATTCACGATTTATGTAAATTTAGTCATAACAAATTGGTTAATATGATTTGTGATTTTAACAATACGATATTCTTTCTTCACAGGTTGTGAGGCTTTGGACTGCCACAACGACCACAACCTCCGGTTCAGCAAAAACAAACAATGGCACTGCTGCTTCACAACGATCTCTTCAATCAACAAAACTGCTAATTAACTACCACCTCCTCTATCATTACACATGGGCGATGTCCACCCCCATATCAACGAAAACTGTCCGCATTATTGTTGGTACTCCATGTCCACAGCTAACGACAACTATTATCATGATTGATGGTGTTCCATGGTGTTGTCAACCATGGTGAACCATTGTGAGTCAACCCTGGTGAACCATTGACTCAATCGTTGACGCTCAATGTCTTCCACTACTACCATAGACAACCATTGTCACCATTGCTGGGTTTAGATGTTAATCATCTACACTATCAGTGAAAATTAGGAAGAGCTGCACCATTTAAACAGTTTAGAGTTATAGGTAACACACTTAGCAACATATTTCAGAAATATCTCAGTAAATCTGAGTCACTGATTGCTTTCACAGTCGTTATTCTTTCATTAAATATTAAATAGTCACGTATATGTGCCATATATGTTAATTATTGTGTTCCAATAATCCTTTCTATAAGAGGACTCAGAATTACTAATGTTTCTTATTTTCTCAATAACAGTAATTACTAAAATTATTATTCACATTCACAAAATAAATCACACTGACGTGATATATGTCAACGATAAAGTCAATTGAAGGGACTCGAACCAGCGATCTAGATAAGACACGCCCCGTGCCTTATCCCAGGGTGAAGAGCTTTTGCATGTCGTGGCTCCGGGGACCGGCGCATGGCTGGTGTTTACTTGGTCGCTGGTTCAACTTCCGCATTGCTCCAAGGATTTCACTCTGATCACGTCAATATGCGTTCATTATTTTTATTATTATTATTATTCCTGTATGGCGTTTTTGCAATAGCTTTCACAAAATTTACATATACAATTTATTTACAATTTAGATTTAAAATTTACATTGTTATTATTATTATTATTATTATTATTTTTATACGGCGTTCTTGCAATATCTTTCACCAAATGTAAGTCTATAGTCTGTAAACAAAATCTTATGTTACCAAAAAAACAGAGAAAACTTGGCTATAAACACGTGAAATATTTATTAATGATGCTAATCATAAGGATTACCCCTAAAAATAAATGTTATTATATTGCAGCATATACATAATATCTATACTATGAGAGAATGTTTGTATGTTGATGTGAAGGCCAGATGCTTGGATATATATATATATATATATATATATATATATATATATATATATATATATATATATATATATATATATATATATATATATATATATAAAAAGTTTGTGAGGGTACCACCTCTGGTGCCAATGTGGGGACCCATAGCCTCGGAGAAGAAAATAAAAAGTATTCAGAGGAGACCTTGTGGTTTCTCACTGAACACTAATATTATCTTCTCCTACCACCCCCATTCTTTTGTATGTACACATATATATTTACTTTATTTGAACTTTGTTACAAAAAAGGAGTTACATATGGGTTACAAAGATGGTTGTCATAGGTTGTCGAGTTCCTCCAGCTCCTCAGATGGCGGGCAGGAACCCTGGATGCAGTGCGCATTTCCCCTCTGTATCGCCACACTGAGGCGCTGGAAAAGAAAGCTTGCAGCTCTCGGGTCCCTTGTTGTTTCAATGAGCCTAGAACCCAGTTCCTTCAAAAAACTGGTAGCACTTTTACCCCAGGCGCCGAGCGTCTCAGAAGCAATGGGGACAAAATTGTAGTGGTGATCCAGTTCTCTATACTTACGGGATTTGGCTGCTTCCCTGTGGGTGGCAGCGCCACCTGGTTGTGCAACACTGAGGTTAATGTAGGTGTTAGCCAGGGTTGATACGCACGTGTAGTCCCATACCAACTGCTTGCCATTCTTCCAGGGGTTCACTGTGATACCATCCGGGCGACCAATAAGAGCATCAGAGTTACGGGGCGTTAGGTAACGGGGCTCTCTTTCAGCTGGGCATCCAGCTGTGGTGAGGCTCCTCTTGATGATGTCGTTAACTTCACTGTGCCTCGAGTGCCATCCCCCTGTGCTTTGGCAGAGTAGGCCATGGTGACCGTACCTGTCAGCCACCACCTCGCCGCAAATACACCTATATCTGGTGTGGATTGGGGCAGCAAGGCGGAGGGCCACAGCAATTCGGAGGGCGTGTGGTGTGAGACGCGTGCCAGTTGCCGACATTGGGGTTGCTAACAGGAAATCCCCTGCATGTGGTGCTGCTACTGCTGTGAGGCGAGCAATGTCGTGTTGTGTTGTTGCAGCACCCAGGCACTCTGCAGCAACTTGGTCTACAATGGGACCATCCCAGCTGGATTGCTTGTGGGATTTTGGGGATGGTGGTTGAGGTGATTGGCCTGCACGAGAGGCCCACTCTGTGGCACAGCGTGTAAAATTGGGATCATGTACATGGGATCCCATGTAAATTGGGATCATATATATATATATATATATATATATATATATATATATATATATATATATATATATATATATATATATATATGTCGTACCTAGTTGCCAGAACTCACTTTTCAGCCTACAATGCAAGGCCCAATTTGCCTAATAAGCCAAGTTTTCATGAATTAGTATATTTTCTCTAATTTTTTTCTTATGAAATGATAAAGCTACCATTTCATTATGTAAGAGGTCAATTTTTTTTTATTGGAGTTAAAATTAACGTAGATATATGACCGAACCTAACCAACCCTACCTAACCTAACCTAACCTATCTTTATAGGTTAGGTTAGGTTAGGTAGCCGAAAAAGTTAGGTTAGGTTAGGTAGGTTAGGTAGTCGAAAAGCAATTAATTCATGAAAACTTGGCTTATTAGGCAAATCGGGCCTTGCATAGTAGGCTCAGAAGTGAGTTCTGGCTACTAGGTACGACATATATATATATATAAGGGACTAATATATAAGTTGATAATCATAAAAACATTTTCTCCATTGCAGTGATATAAGTGACAGTGCGGACATTTCTTTGAAATATATTACAAATGTGCAAAAAAATTAGTTAATATCTCACAATAATCGTTAAGGAAATAAGTTACAAATCGTGAGGAGAGTTTCCGTGTGTTGTGCGATATTGAAACAATGCATCAGAGAACAGGTGGTGGTGGTGGGAGCTTGAGTTGGGAGTCCCAGACCAGAGTGTCGAGTGAGAGCCCCGCGCGGACAGCACACACTTGTGAGGTGAGGGAGCACACACCTCACACACTCAACACACACTCTGGCTGCTGGCTGGAGCTACCAGGTGGCCGGGAGTCCAACACAACCTCACCACCACTGTCATGCCAAGGATGCCTTCAGTTACCTTCCACGAGGAGTAGTTCCTGTTCTCGTCCCACTCCTCTCTTCCCAGTGACGAGATGTCCCGGGAGACCTTACTCCTCAACAACACGCTCCAAACCTCCAATAGTCTGTGGGTCCAACCAACTATTACTGCTAGTCCTACTCTTCTGCGCCACACTTAACATCTCCCATGCTAAAGGTAAGTACCGTTTCTGATCATTAATTCCTATATTGGAAAACTTTCTTAATGGCTTATAATGTAAATTATATGATATTCTTTCATCTGTATATAATATTTAAAATATCATGAAGCAGCACTCACCAACAAGAGTTTTGTTATAGAAGCTGAAGACACACTAATGGAGTATTTCATAGTATTCAGTCACAATATATCGTTGAGGTTGCTGTATTTCATTTTTAAATGTATTCCTTGGTTTTGATAATCAGTATTACATCATAATATAATAATTATCATATATTATAGTCAAAACTGTATAAAAATATGGCAATAGTCTTCCTGTGTCTGTAAAAGCTGGCAATGTCATGGGAGGTTAATTAAATTTACTGTTATATGTAATTAATTGACGTAGTGTTCAATTTTATGTAGTTTTGAAGAGAGCTAAACAAATAAAGTTTAAAACAAACATTTCTAGTAATTAACAATAAACGTTAATATGCTAACATACTAGGTTTTGGCCTTCATTCGTAATCAATAAAACAGTGATCAAATGATAGTATTTATATGTTTTTAGTAACTTCTCACTAGGAGACTGGAATACCAATACTTAAAATCTACATTGTTCAAAGAATCCAGGTTACGGGCCAGCCAGAGGCTTAGGGCCCACGCAGGTATATCCCTGACAAAAAAAAAAATAATAATCCAGAACAAGTACTCTTTCCTCTGACACCTGACGATAGTGTGACACCTACAATGAAAAAATAGTAATGTGCACAAATAAAAATTATGAAAATAATTGATATGAAATAAAATGCTGGAAAAAAATAGGTCAGACAGTGATCGTGAAGATAATGTTTTATACCAAATCAATATTGATGATGTATTTTAATGTAATTTTATAACTTTATTGTACGTACAGATTTGTAGGAGAATATTTTCACTTGGAAAGACAGTTGAGTTTCTTTGAGACTTTGAATTCTAAAGACCCAATTATTAAATTTACTGAGGTAATGCCTCCTATCTGCACCAATCCCTTCGATGAGTCCCAGAGCTTATTAATGTCACCATTAAGACCTCTAATTAGACTCTTATTATCGCAAGTCTTTTACTCCACTAAACGAGTAGAAGACGTCAGCTAGTCCGACTTCGAAATTAACTTTTCGCCCAGTTTCCTGCCCGGAGGGGCTTTGCCCACAATGTTCCCGTCTGGGAGAACCTGCTATTGTTCTCTCCTCTCGCTCTTTTAGGAATTCTTAAAACATTTTAAGGAAATCTCTGTTGAGATGCATTTTCAACTGGTACGAGCGTTAGAGAATCTTACTTCATTGTTCATCGGAATATTTTTCATACATTAAACAATGTTCAGGGAATTAATTGGTGACTATCAGAGGCAAAACAATCAAGGATCGAGAAAAGATCCAAAAATTAATCAATTTAAAAGCATTTTCACATTTACTATTGATAGGCATCAAAATGGCGTTCTCTCTCTCTCTCTCTGTATATATATATATATATATATATATATATATATATATATATATATATATATATATATATATATATATATATATATATATATATATATATATATACGCCCATCTTCAGGTTGTAATTAAGAGGCAGCATTGACTTGTACTTGTAGATAAACTAAACGGCTCAATGATCATAAGTTCATTTTTTTAGCCGTGGATGCTGCTTCAAACGGTGTCAGTCTGTCCAATATTTACTCACTTCCTTTGATGTTGTTAATCAGTGAGTCCAGTTATGTACATACTGGATGTCAGTCTGAAGATTAGTGATCCACTGAGGTCACGTAGCAGTTACCACTCATTTCTGAAGTTTCGCAAGAAATACTTACTGGGTATATCATATGGGTTACGAAATGGAAAGTGAACTGATAAATGAATTATATGCAGTTTATATAACGGGAACTGATATATGAACGATATGCAGTTTATATAACGTGAACTGATATATGAAGGATATGCAGTTTTTCCTTGTGTCTGGTCAGGTATCGTATGCAGTGTAATACAAGTCTGGTCAGGTATCGTATGCAGTGTAATACAAGTCTGGTCAGGTATCGTATGCAGTGTAATACAAGTCTGGTCAGGTATCGTATGCAGTGTAATACAAGTCTGGTCAGGTATCGTATGCAGTGTAATACAAGTCTGGTCAGGTATCGTATGCAGTGTAATACAAGTCTGGTCAGGTATCGTATGCAGTGTAGCATAAGATACTACATGGTAGCAAAGAATACAGCCCCGCTCCTGTGCCAGGTAAGTCCACTACGGGCTCACCATAGCCCGTGCTACTTGGATTTTTTTATTCCCAGTTGCTGAATCTAAAACAGAGTACGCGTTTGAATGCCTATAATACAGCATTCATAAACGTGTTCTCCAGGAGTATATTTTGTGTTAATAACCTATGAATGAAGAATTCAGATACTCATTAACATATATCATTAAAATTAGTGCAAGGCTATCATTAACTCACGAAATATCTGAACACCTGATAGGTGAAAGTGATAACCAATACTGCGCAAACATATCATAGTTGTCACTCTCCTGGTAACGGCAGAGTACAATTGTAAATCATTGTAATCCTTGCTTGGAAGTATTTGTAATTTATGAAAATTGTCGTTTGAGCACATTTGTGAAAACTACTGGAATGTAAATGTCTAAAACAGAATGAATGACTACGAACTAAATATGTTTAATTGAGCTGCTAAAGCACCAATTATTAGTTGAGCTTCACCTGACAACAACATTAATAACTGCTGTACCACTAGCAACAACAGGTTTAGCAGCGGTACGGCTAATAGCAGCACCACTAGCAGCAGCAATCCTAACAGCAGCACCACTAGCAGCAGCAATCCTAACAGCAGCACCACTAGCAGCAGTAATCCTAACAGCAGCACCACTAGCAGCAGCAATCCTAACAGCAGCACCACTAGCAGCAGCAATCCTAACAGCAGCACCACTAGCAGCAGCAATCCTAACAGCAGCACCACTAGCAGCAGTAATCCTAACAGCAGCACCACTAGCAGCAGCAATCCTAACAGCAGCACCACTAGCAGCAGCAATCCTAACAGCAGCAGTGCTTTAAGCAACGGTCTTGCAGAGATACTATGTACTCACCTTGTTGTGTTTGTGGGGGTTGAGCTCTAGCTCTTTGGGCCCGCCTCTCAACAGTGCGTATGTATCATGTTTGACTTGTCACCCGCGGTAAGGTTCAGCTCAAAATAAAGCGTAGATTCGCGATAGAATCATTGATATATCTCTATCGGAAATATTTACTTACAAATATCTACAAGAAAAAACTTTTTTCAAATTATATGGACCCGGGCACCGCCGGGTTTACATCTAGTGTATAATTTTAATAATACTTGCAACCACCGGAACTAGAAATCTGCTTTGTCATAGTGCCGGCACTCTTCACTATCATAGTGCCGGCACCCTTCACAATCATAAGGACTATCCACTATCCAGGAGCAGGCAGGTCACAGAGAGAGGGTGTGTAGCTGGATCTCCAATTGTCCTGATACTGAACACGGAAGGTGTAGTGAGAGAACTGGTGCTGGTGAGGGAGCTGTGTGGGGCTCTGAGGGCGGAGGTCGAGTCCCTGTGGGAGGAGCAACGACAGATGCAAGATCTAAGATAGACGAAAACAGCGTCAAGAAGAAGCAAATGAGGAAAGCAGCAGTAGAAAGTTGTCGTTCTGGAATGTTGTAAAGGACAGAGGTCTTAAGAAGACTTAGCAAAAAGACGATTACAGATGTCCTAAGGACTTCTAACCAATTCGCCGTGTTGGAAGACGAGTGCTGTAGGGAGCCTGCAGTTCGCTTGAAAGGGAAGGCAACGAAGGGAGCACAGGTACCTCAAGGTGCTCAGAAATTAAAGTACCTAAGCGAATTTTCGTTGTGGGAGTTTCCCAGGTGAGGTATTTGGATAGAACTTATTTTGACAGAGATTGGGGGAAAAGGTTAAGGGTATGATATCCAGGAGCAGGGATTTGTGACGTTGTTAACATGAATGATATTTTGACAAGTAATGAGAACAAACCCATTGTTTGTATCAGTGCCGGTGGAAATGATGTTTAATGAGTTAGGAGTGAGGCACTGATACAAAGGTTCAAGACAGCCATAGAATTAGTTATATATATATATATATATATATATATATATATATATATATATATATATATATATATATATATATATATATATATATATATATATATATATATATATATATATATATATATATATATATATATATATATATATATATATATATATATATATATATATATATATATGATTTGGATTCAGGTTTGAGCAGCAATATTGGTGAATTTGCCGATGATAAAAAAAATCGGGAGGGAAATAAACATGAAAAAGACACTTTATCACTTTAAGACGATCTAAATAGGATTTTGAAATGGGCAAAAGATTGGCAGATGCAGTTTAATGCTGACAGATGTAAGGTTTTGAGGACAGGTAATGATGATATATTTACAAGATACGAGCTAGATGGTGTTGAGATTGCGAAGTCGGATTGCGAAAGGGATCTGGGAGTTATGATTAGTATGAAGAATTATGAAGAGTTTAAAACCAAAAAATCAATGCATGAATGTTCGTAATAAGGTAAATAGGACACTGGGGGTTTATTAATCGAAGCGTTACTAATAAGACACCTTGTATTGTTTTTCAGCTATATCTTGATCTGGTTAGGCCCCATTTAGATTATGCAGTTCAGTTTTGGTCGTCGTACTATAGAAAGGATATGAATTCACTAGAACGCGTCCAGCCTAGGATGAAAACATAATCCCGCCAATTAGAAACTTGTCATATGAAGAAAGATTGACAAAGCTTAAATTACATTCGCTGGAATGGCAAAGAATCAGTGGTAATAAAATAGGGGTGTAAAGTGAATGAATGGATATAACAAAGAGGATATTAATATGGTAGTAAATGTATCAACACAAGACAACATGAAACGATGGGTAAAAATTGGATAAGT